TGAACCAACCCCCCTGAGATCAAGACCTGAGCTGAGACCAAGAGTCAGACGCTTAACAGACTCAACCACCCGGCTCCCTGAGGAGATCTTAATTTCAAGGGAGTTCAAATTTTTACAATGACGTGAGATGGGATAATTTCTATAACGGACTGAGGTTGGTTTGTGACTTAAAGTGACCATAGGGCTTGTGTTACTGAAGAGTGATAAGAAACATCATGAGATCTACATGGGGTCTTCATGAGATCATCTGGGCTAAGGAAGAGCTCATTTCACTGAGCAAGGAGGAAACCGAGACAGTTGGGGTTTTATCAATATACTCCATGAGTTCCTTTGTTTTTTAATAATTTTTTAAGTAATCTCTATATCCAATGTGGGGCTTAAGCTCATGACCCTGAGATTAAGAGTCACGTGCTCTACTGACTAGGCCAGCCAATCTACCCCATGAGTTCTACTTATTGAGTGCACTGGACATACATGCTCAGTCTCTCCCATTCTAAAAAACATATCATTTGATCTTTATTTTCCATCCTCCAGTTTTTACCCATCACCTCCCTGAGTTGAGTCTGCCCCAAATACCTCACTCACTTTCCCAGCTTCTTCATGTCCCATCTGTTCCTCCACCCACTGCCAGCTAGCTTCAGACCCAAATACTCCCTTAAAATGGCTTCACCAAGGCCATGATGAACTGACCCTTTAAGCCCAATGGTGCTTTAGGTCTTCCTGTCATTAAATCTCTGACTCTGCTGGTTGTCCTCACATCTCTCCGACTATTCATCATGACTTGTCAGTCTCCTTTACAAAGGCTCCCTTCATCCTGGGAATATTGGGGTTCTCCTTGTCTTTCTCTAATGGACTTCCAGGCAATCTCTCCTTCTGATTGCTAGCCCTGACCTCTCTTCAGAGCCTCAGATGTCATCCATCCATTCATTCACTGGCTAAAGATTTTCTGCAAACCAACTAAATGCCAGGTGGTAATTAGGCATTGAGACTACCACTGTGAACTAGCCACAGTCCTGGCTTCATAAAGCAGATGGTCTGGGGGCCATTAAAGAATGGTAAAGAGAGGCTCTCCAGCTGGGAGGGGCAAGTAGAAACACCTAGCAGTGGTTCTTCAAATAAGCTCTGTGGATCATAAAGGCCTCCATAAACTTTGTGAAATTATATGCAAAGTTCTGCCCACTTGTACATGTTCATGGTTGATATAATCTATGCCTTTTGTTAGGTTAGCCAAAAGGTCCTTGACTCAAAAATGTCTAAAATCCACTGGTCTGATGACAGGTTACTAATGTGACACTGGGCATGATGTCACTCTGAAGAAAAATCAGGGCTTAAGTCATAGATGTGAGCCCCTTCTCTGAGAGGTGAGAGCTGGGTCAGGGATCCAAGGATTTCAATGAAGAATCACGGCAGCAGAGGGCAGTGACAGACAATGGAGATGACGGGGGGCCTCAAGATAGGGGGGGCCTCATGGCTTACCTCAAGCTCCAAAAAGTCTAACTGTGCTTCTCCTATAGCTCCAAGTAACACTCTCCAAATCCCCCAGTCCCGCCATGATGCCACATACCGCAGGTGCTCCCTGTGTGGGAAACAGCAACCATAGCTGTCCTGGGGATGACAGAGGTCTCTCTCATAGCTTTGAAGAAGAGGGATTTGGGGCCACATTTTGAAGTCAGGAGATTTCATGGAATGATCTAGATTTTTTTTAAAGATGTTATTCATTTATTCATAAGAGACACAGCGAGAGAGAGGCATAGACACAGGCAGAGGGAGGAGCCCAATGCAGGACTCGATCCCAGGATCCCGGGATCACAACCTGAGCTGAAGGCAGATGCTCAACCCTTGAGCCACCCAGGCATCCCAGAATTATCTAGATGTGTGTCTTCTCTTTACAAAGTCTGAGGACCCAACAGCCCTGTGTCCCCACCCTCTACCCATCACAGGGGGCTGGTAGCTGCCTCCTTGGGTGGGGCATGTATATACTTCAGGCTCCATGCCCCAGCCTCATACTTGGACTCTGCTCTCTTTCATGGCACCTGCCCACTCTCCACTCCAGAAGCTCCAGTGGAGACAAGGAAGAGCAGAGGACTAATGGAAAACCGTGGGAAATAAACTATTTACCAGGCAGCAGAAAAAAAAATATCTATATACAGGAAGATAAAGGAAAAAGTAAAACAGAAAGGATATAAATTTTCTTTTTTTTAAGGATACAAATTTTCTTAATGCAAAATCTCCTATATTATGTTGTCTACTAGGAAGACTCAGGATCCACAGCCTCATCTAGCTGAACGCTATTTGGATTGTGAAAATGTGCTCCCCATCCCATCCTTCACCAGAATAAAGGCATTACTATTAAAATATTAGGAACACAATGGGGAGTGGGAACCACCATGTCCTAACATTTAAGAAATCACAGTGTATCTGCATAATAACATCAGAAGGGCCATAAAAATTCCTTCTTACAATTAAATAGCTCCATCCACTATTAACAAATTAAGCATTTCATAAGTTATGATACATTAAAAAGAGATCATTGATATTTGATTCTGTTTTGTACATCAGAGATACATGTAATATTAATGACTCATGATCACGACTCTATTTTCTTGAGTCTTTTTAAAGTGCATATTAATCATCTGCTAATATTACCGTAACTCATAAAATACAAGCTAAATCTCGGCTTAGTGCCTTTCATCTGTAGGAAAAGCTATGTTTTCTGGGTATCTTACAGCATGGCACTGTACCCACTGCTTTCCCTCTGGGGCTAACACCCCTGTTGCACACCCATTCCCTCATCTGTCACAGCTGGAGGTCAGCCACCCTGTGTGTCAGGAAGGAAGTACTGTGTGTGCTCAGTTCAATAGCGTTAATTTCATTCATGTTATTGTGCTACCAATCTCTAGAATTCTTTTCATCTTGCAAAACTGAAACTCATACCCATCAAATAACAACTCCCCATTCCTCTCATCTCTCCAGCGCCTGGCAAGTACCATTCTTCTATCTGTCTCTATGGATTTGGCCATTCTAGGTACCTCACGAGTGGAATTATACGGTATTTGTCTTTGGTAGCTAGTTTATTTCACTTAGCATAATGTCTCCAAGGTTCATCCATGCTGCAGCATATGTCAGAATTCCCTTCCTTTTTTAAGGCTGAACGATGTTCCATTGTGTGTATACACGACATTTTATCCACCCATCCATCTGCTGGTGGACATTTTGGGTTACTTCCACCCTCTGGCTATTGTGAACAATGCTGCTATGACCATGGGTGTGCAAATATCTCTTTCAACTCTTTTGGGTATGTACCCAGACGTGAAACTGCTGGATCGTGTGGTAATTCTATTTTTAATTTTTTGATGAACCATCATACTGGTTTTCCATAGCAGCTGCATGATTTTATATTTCTATGAGCAATGTTCAAGGATTCCAATTTCTCCACATTATCGCCAACACTTGTTCCTTTCTGCTCTTTCGTTTGTTTGTTTGATAGTAGCCCTCCTAATGGATGTGAGGTGGTATCTCACCCGTTAAATTTAAATATCCCCAAAGGTTATGCTTTGCTTCCCAGGTAGCACCTTAGTGATGAGTTTACATTATTATTCACAAGAAGCCAAGAGTGTGTTCATGCAGCATTGCACAACAGCACTGAACATCTAGGTTGGGATGGACACTGAGTCACGAGACATCTTTGGTGGAGGAAGTTACTGGCCCAAAACATCACCTTCCTTGTTGCACAAATTCACCCAAGGGCAGCTCTATTCTAATGCCATTAGTTCCTCAGGTTTCAATCTGAGCAGGAAAATAAGAGAACATGAGGCATCTTAGTTTTTTAAAATGTGACAAGTCTGAACTTCAAAACCACCTGCAGAATCTCCTCATTCTATTCCACAATTCCTTCTTGCCATCCTCCTGTATGCCCACAAACACTGCCCTAAAACCAGGCCAAGGTAGGAAAGCCTCCTCCACCTCTTCTAACTTAAGACAAAACCATGATGATCTTAAGTCTGTATGGCCTTTCAGCAGAACTCCCAGAAAGTACTGAACGAGAAGTCGGATATCATCTTCGTGAGAAATCAGAGCATCTATGCTGGGCTGAACAATGCCCCCTGCGAAAAAAAAAATCTACATCCTAATCTCTGGAACCTGCAAATGTTATCTTACATGGGAAAAAGGACTTAGTAGATGTGATTCACCTTGGGCCAGAGGATTATCTTAGATTACCACACGTACCATAAATGTCATCACAGGGGCCCATCACACTGGAGGCAGGAAAGTCCGAGGGAGAAGAAAGGCATGTGATGAAGGAAGAGGAGGAAGAGGGATGTGATGTAGCCACAATCCAAAGAATGAGGACCTCTATGAGTTGAAAAGGCACAGACATGGATTCTCCCCTACAGCTTCCAGAAGGATCCCCACCCTGTGCACACACTGAGTTTAGTTCTGTAAGAGCTCATTTCGGACCTCTGACCTGTGGAGTGTGAGACAATACATCTGCATGTTCCCAGCCACCATACTGGGAGTAATCTGTCACAGCAGCCATAGGAATATGGCACCAAAGTTAACCTACGTCATTCAGCATCCCTTACACGGGAGCTCCCCAGCTGGGGTACCATGGGGTATTGATCCCCTTGTCTCTGGGGGCAGCAGGGCAGGACCCGGGCAAGAGTCATCCAGAGCTGCCCCAAGGCCCTCCGGTTGTCCCCGGCTGTCCTGAGCACAGCCCATCGAAGATGGGGATGAATAAAAGGAGGCCAACATTCCTATCGTTTCAATCTCTCAGGATCGCTATCTGATAAGCTGCACTTGAAAACTTGAGCTAAAGAAGCAAACTGTGGTGTCTTCGCTCAGCAAGAAAGCCCGATGGCAGGACACCATGAAGGCCCGCAGCAGCTTCTGCACCCTGCCGGTCCTCCCCGGGGGGCCTCTCTGCACCCCTCACTCTGGCTTCCCCCGTCTCCACGATCTGGGGACACCAGGGCCCCCGGAGTCTGCTTGCCACCGACCTGATGGGGAGAGAAGGGTCTCCGGCGTCCCACCAGTCTTTTGGGGGGCTGATGTACATGCACCACAGCTCCCAGCTGTAGCCATGGGCTGAGTTCTCGTACCGCTGCACCTCAAAGGTGTCCTGTTTGATGTTGTCGATGGACGGGAGGATCACTCGCTTCCGGTTCTCTTGGATTCGGGACAGAACTGGCTCGGCCCTGAAACACAGGGAGGTAGAAATAAAATCTCTCTCCTGCGGCACATCTACCCCTCCACCGGCACTGGGGCCCCAACACCACAGAGAAGGAACAGCAGGAATGTAGCTAAAGGGTGGGGAGGGGTCCAGGGCAGGCCAGGGCTCAGATGGAAACTGAGGCACCGGGGTGGATGGTGCGATGTGAGCACACTCTGCAAGGCAGTGCAGTGCAGCTCGTGCCCTGGCCTGGAGGGAACAGCGCTGCCGCCCAGGGCCTGAGAGGTTGGGAGCAAGGCTTCAGAACCCGGGGGCCTCTCCCCAGAAAGCCCCAGGCCTCTCTTGTGCTGACGGCCCAAAAGCAGCCAAGGCAAGCCTGTCCTTCCCACTCTGACTGCACACAGCTCGCTCTGCACCACGGATTCCCAGCATTTGCCAGTTCCCCTCAGGCGCTGCTTGATGCTTCTTGTTTCTTCTGCAGGAGCTGAATTTTCTTTCCCAAAATGGGTCACTTCTGCCCTTGGTGGCCTGCTTTTAATAAGCATCTCACCAGCTTCTCGGTGTGTGTGACTATTTCAGTTGTTTTAATTGATTATTTAATTGATTTCCTAAAAGGGATCTAATTGAATTGGTTAGCAATGGCAGGAGGGAACTCACTGAATGCAGAGGCAGGCAGAACCCTGCCTCCCTGTGAGCCTGCCCGCTCAGGGCTGTGGCGGGAGACAGGCAGGGGGACCTGGCTCCAGGTTCAAGGTACCGCCCTGACGGCTTAGGAGAAAGCAGATGGTCAGACTCCCCCACCAGCATGTGTCTCCAAGGCAGACGTAGGAAAAGATTGTTTCCTATATTCGAGAAGGAAAAGATGGCTCTCGTAAGCCAGGGCATTAATCTCCCTGCTTAGAACAGAGCTCAGGCTTTGGAAAAGAGTCAAGTGAAAATCCCATTCCTCTGCATTATTTGGAAGAATAATGAGAATGCTCGGCCTGCCTCCCATCTCTTTTCATTTCCAGCTATTGAATTACCTGTTGGCTCATCTCATCTTTCTATTTAAAACAAGCAATAAAACATACCCTGGGCCATTGACTGCCTCCAACCCTTCTGCACACACCGTACAGGCTGAAGCCAAATGGGACTCACTTGTCAACGGTTTCCAGAAACACTTCTGAGTTTCACCCCTCCAAACACCTGCTCATGCTGTTCTCCTCTGGGAATGCTCTTGGCCACTGACAAAAAGTCTAGTTACCTATGGAGTCTCACCAGATCAAGTGCCACATCTCCCAAGAAGCCTTCCTTGATTTCTCTGGAGGAGGGCTCTCTCCTTCCAGCTCTTGGACCATCTTCTCCACCTTATCAAGTCACTCTGGCTACATGTTGTCTTTGCTAATCTTGGAACACACATTATTTTCCCTAATGAGCTAAGGGTAGCTGGGATTTATGGAGCCCTTGCCATGTGCTAGGTGCCATTCTAAACATTCCAGATGGGCCAGGCTGACTAACAGATCTCACAACGGTCCTATGAAGTAGACAGTATGATCAGTGTTTGACCAATGAGGATAAGTCGCTTGCCCCAGGCCACACAGCCAGCTGGTGGCAGAGCCGGGTCTCTAACCTGGATGCTCTGGCTTCATGCCCTACCCATGTGCTCTACTGTGACCTCCACTGGGTCAGGCTCTGCCGGTCTGGCGGCCTGCTGTATAGAAGCATTCAGTTAAAAAAAAAAAAAAAAAAAAAAAAAAAAGAAGCAGCATTCAGTTCAGCCCGTCGCTGTGATGAACTTCTAAGCGCAGGGGCAGAAGGCCTTCCTTCTGCTAACGCTTCTGATGCTGCAGAGCATGATCTCTGGGTCTGCGAGGACGGTACACCTGTTCCCAGTGATCTGCACCCCTCCCTGGAGACATCCCACCTTTACCACGTGGCCGCCTTGCTTCCCTGCAGAGGGCACACTCCCTCCCTCACCCCCAGGCCACATGTGCCCCGCTCTGGCCCTTGGGGTGTGAGCCAAAGGGATGACGTCATACCGGAGCAGCTGCTCCACTAGCCACACCCTGGCTCCTCCCCCGAGCCACAAACGTGGGATGTCCTCGACAGAGTCATGCTTCCTGTCACTTCAGGCCGCAGAGACAGGACATGTGTCTCTCACTTCAATACTGATTTGTATTTGATATTTTAAAATTGTCTGCATTTGGCCATTTGTGCTACTTCAAGCTGGAAGCACATCTTCTGGAGAGCAAATCAGCTAAGAAATCGGGTTTACTCAGGGAAGCAGCCTCCGATTCTCTGAGACCCATGAATGTCTCCACGTGACCTGCTACCCCTACCCCTCCCTGGTCACCCCAGGATGGAGCAGCCACGACAGTCACAGGGGCTGCCCGCTGCTGGGGTGCTCGTACCCGAGGCGGCACTACATGCCCTTGCTGAGAAATGCCTACCACCTGATTGTGTTTTTAGATAATAATACCATTATCTTACGACCCCCAGACCCATAGCCCCTAACTAAAATTCCTGGATTTTAAAAACAGGGAGAAGGGTAGCATGTCTAGGGGGCCAATATAGCTACACCAAATAAATAAAAAACAGCCTCACTTTGGCAATCATCAGATTGCTAATTTATAGACTTTATATTTTTTTAAATTTTTGTTCTCTTTAGGTGGCTGCTCTAACACTGCTTATTAGCGCCGTAACAAATGTAGACTTAGATAATCCAACGAATCCACCAGGCAACTCTTATTTCACGCCTTCCCATTAACAGCTTAAGGCATTTTACTACAAGTTCCCACAACCTCTAATCTTTTCACAATAAAGTAGGTTGGCATATAAAATAAAATACATGACTACTTATCTCCTACGTGATCTCTTATAGGCGTATTTCCATTTTATGTATATGACAGTCTAAAAACTGTTAACTATCAAAGTTCCCTTCCAAGAACGGAGAACGAATTCCAGTTTTTTAAACAAAAAGGACACGGTCTTGGAAGGACTTTACATAAGCGGCCAGATGTGTAACCTGTACAAAATTAAGCTGTTTTAAATTGCAGATTATAAGCAACTGATTGCAAACAGTCCTTTCTTCTCTGTACTACATTTTGGCTAATATTGCAAAACTAATGCCAGTCTTAAAAGTTGCTATTACCAATTCCGTTGACTTCAGCAAGGTATCTGAAGTTATAACAAAGACCCCTTGGGTCTCAGAATGCAGAGCACATGTGGAGTCAAGCCACAGTCACAGGCAGTTGACCTGCTACACGGACAAGATGAAAATCTTTGTTGTCATGATTCACCGATGTTGGAGATTATTATTGCTGTATAACCTGGTGAAGGTTGAGACATAGTGTAGTGTCTACCTTGTAATGAGGGACCATAGGGACATATGTCACTCTGGTAGACATGTGGAAACTGAGTGTGATGAACATAGAGACCAGTTAGACTCTAGGCTACATGAGGGCAGATACCAAATCCTGCCAGATTCTGAACCCTGGCTGAGTGACCAACTGTCTCGGTTTGTCCAGGACTGTTCTGGTTTTACCAAGGAAAGTCCTGCGTTTCAGGAAATCCTTCAGCACTGGGCAGAACAGCTGGTCACCTCACTTCTGGCCTAGGACACTGTATGGGACAATAGTAGGCAACTAGCAAATATTTGTCAAAAGGAGGATGCAGGCAGCCACTGCGTTTAGATGCATGATGATGAGGTTGTGAGATGGGCGAGTGGAGATCGAGGCCAAGGGGGAAGGGCAGACATCCAAAATAAAGGGGAAAACCAGCTAGAGCTAGAGGTGATACCCATAGCTAGAGGCTGACATGATGGGGAGGGAAGAGTCAAGTGAAAGGGGACATGGAGAGAATCACCAGTTTTGATAGAAAAGAATCAGGGAGGGAAGGATGCAGCAAAAAAAGGAAAAAGCTCCAATGGAATATTCAAGTGCATCTGTTCAGAAGACTTCCAGTTCAATGATTCTCAAACCTGAGCAAGCATCAGAGTTACCTGGAGCGCTGGTTAAAACAGATTGCTGGACCCACTCCCCCAGAGCTTCTGATTGCAGAGGTCTTGGGGAACCCAAGAATCTGCGTCTCAAACAGGCTCCCAGATGATGCTGCTGATCTGGGGACCACACTTTGAGAACCACTGATGAGAGATAAACAACTCCGAAGCCTAGGGGAGGTCGGGGCTGCAAACATACAGCTGTGTGTCACCAAGTCTGATGGCGGCAGAAATACCAGGAAAGAACACTAGTGTCTGAGATGACACTAGATACCCACGTGCACTTGAAGGAGCCAGTGTTAACTGTGACCCCAGCTTCCAAATCTTCACAGGCTCATGCACACAACCATTCTCCTTTGATCCAGCCATTAAAGAGATTCTAAAGTGTGTTGCAAATGGAGAAGAGCAGATGTTTTAATGTTTCAATGGTAATGGATAGTGGCTCTTCCAATCTGGTACTGCGAACGGCATTTATTTAAGATCGCACCAGTGAATTGACACAAGTCCCAAACATGATTTGTGAAATGAAAGACTCTGCTTCTTAGGAATTAAGCAAACGGAGCACAGGTTATTTAACCTCTGCCTTGGTTTACCTAAACTGGGTAGTCAGCAACACCCATGTGACCATGCTTTTCAAATCTACAGCCCTAATCTAAAGTCAGCACGCTCACTGAGTGATTTGGGCATTTTGAGGCTTTACTACTCTTGTATCCTAAGTCTCCTCTCCCACGTGCTCCCCACAATCTCTTCCAGACTGTTCTTTTTACCACCTGGGAAACCATCCAAGGCCACACCTACAAAGTTATGAACCCCCCCCTTCCTACAAACGACATTAAAGATAATCCCATGTGTTTCAGGAGTAGGTAGGATTATAATGGATCTCTTTCCTCCAAATATCACTCAACCATCCTCCTCACACAAGGGGACAGACAAGCAGAGCAAATAAGGTTCTCTTGACCCCTTGGCAAGGATTATCAAGAGTTCTGTCTAATTAATATGTCATCCTCACTGGAATTTTGATGATGGTGGTGATGACCACAACAATGAGGAGCAGAGGAGATAGCACACTATTCTCTGCTTCCTGGTTTTATCCCAGATTATCAACCCACCCTCCTTCATTGGTCCAGCAGCCCTAGAGGAAACAGGTGAAGTTTCCACCTCCCAGATTCTAACTCCTTCTGACCACACTACTGCAGGTCCTGAATGCCCCTAGGGTCCAGCTTGTGACCTACCAGCCAGCAGTGAATTCCACGTGGGCATCAAAGAAGCCAGTGACCTGGCCAGTGGCCACCTTCCAGCCCTCGATGCGAGCTCGGATCAGGCCCTCTCTTTTTTGGTTGCGCACCACCTTCACCAGCCCAGGGTAGCGCTTGTGAACGTACTCCTCCAAGGGGGCCTTCAGCTCCTCTGCAAATGACAAAATGCAAGAAAGTCCATCAACATGGCGTTTCACATGTGTGTACAACCCACCGGGATGCCAACAGATCTTCAGGAAGTTCGGAGCGGCAAAAGAGTTGGCATGTTAGTAATTTTTGTAGAAGAGACAACTCAGGCAGCGTGAGGTCAGAAGATATTGCTGACACACCAGCCCAGGACAGCAGTGCTTGCCCCACATCCCAGGTATACAGTTGGGCAGACTCCACACCTGGCTTTTACTTTCCGACTGCTACAGGCCAGCAGATGTCTTTTGAGGTTTTTCTCTGTGGCCTTTCCTCCTTTCTAGGCCAGCATTCCTGCCCTCCCACTGTCCCCTGGGTCCTGTTATCCCACGTCTAGAGAGGTTTTCCCATCTGTACATATACTGGTTCATATAGTACATGTCCTGGGTGGTCCAGACCCACAGTCATGCACCAGATGCAAAGTCATCACGCTTGTTCCTTTGGTCTTCATTTAACAAAGCAATCTTTGCCTAGGAGTAGAAATGCTGCTCTTACAGCCAACCTAATGCTAGCAGAGATGGAGCATTCTTCTGCAAGAAGCAAGTGGTATAAAGTGTTATTTATATGATCTAATTTAATCCTTACAACAACCTAGGAAGGAACTAGATCAATTCCATTAATTAACTAGATTAATTCCACTTTGCAAATTAAGAAACTGTCTTGGGGAGGCTAACCTGTCCCGACATCACACACCTACCAATGGAAGAGCTAGAACATGAACCAAATGTGTCTAACTCCATAGACAAGATGATTGACACCTTTCTGTACCTGAGAAATCACCAGATGTAGGAGGGCGAGGAGGGGACTCATAGATATGCACACTGCGAGGATCCACCCTTGGAGAGTCTCATGCTGTAGGTCACTAATGGGGCTTGAGAGCGTTCTAGGGGATTCTGATATAAGCAGTCCACAAACCATACTTTAAGAGACATTCTTTTCTAACTTCATTTCACTGGGTCAGAAACTTCTACTGAGGCATAGCGTGTGCTTGGGTACTGACACTGGAGTCAGGCTGCCTAGGGTTCAGAACCTAGTGCAGCCAGGCATCACCTGAGCGGCCCTGGGTGATTTAGCCAACCAATCCATGCCTCAATCTATCTCCTCCTTTGCCGAAGGAAGATGATAATCCATCATATAGACCTTCTAGGGTTATGACCGAGACACTCTACTGAGGGTGAAGAGAGTGATAGGCATTTACACTGTTGACAAAAGACAGTGTGGCTCACTACCACTGCTTTCCACATCTCAAGGCCACTGAGATACGGACATCAAAAGGCTTTGAAAAGTGTAAAGGGGAAATGCCTACCCATTTGGTACTAGCCCTATGGCTGTTTTTTTTTTTAAGATTTTATTTATTTATTCATGAGAGACAGAGAGAGAGAGAGAGAGAGAGAGAGAGAGAGAGAGAGAGAGAGAAGCAGAGACACAGGCAAATGGAGAAGCAGGCTGCATGCAGGGAGCCCAGCATGGGATTTGATCCCAGGTCCCCAGGATCACACCCCGGGCTGAAGGTGGCGCTAAACCGCTGAGCCACCAGGCTGCCCAGCCCTATGGCTGTTAAGAATAAATGAGAAATTTCTATTACATAGAAAGCCCTTAATAGGCATTCAATAAATGTTATTTCCTATTCATATTAGCAACGGAGATCAATTTTATAACTTTCCATGAATGACAGCTTGTCTTCCTAGCTAGTCAACATCAATATGAAGTCTGGGGCCCACCGTATAGGGCTAGACACCATCCTCACTTACAAGATCTGGGGACACATTGTTCTAAACACAACGGAAGTGATGCTCCATGGGCTTTTAGGGGAACATCAAGGGAGATGCCACCATCTAACTGCACAAAATTCAAGGGCAAATGATAATGGTCAGGTTTCTCTTCCCAGTCACCGAATATGGTTCTATACCAGAAAGCAGTGGCTTGTGACCTTGCCTGGATTTAACGTCAATGGGTGGAACATGGTTTTAACAGTCTGAGAGACTGGGGTGTTGAGATGTGGAATTGCCTTAAAGCAAGAGAGCCTACAAGTTTACCAAGTTAAAACAAGGCCTTCGGGCTCACCAGGGAAGGAAACCCATCCCCATCCTGACAATGGTAAGAAATGTCACCCCCATCACCTGAGATCCTTTATCATCCTTAACAGATGAAACCATGCTTAGATTTTATAATAACAGTAAGAAAAACATTAGACATAAGATTTTTCGCACCAGCAAACTCAGAGGAAAAAAAACAAAAACTTGTGTCTGCAAAAATCAGTGTTTACTTTCCAGTGCTCTAAAGTCCAATTCTAAATTGGTCCAGAGTCATTTGGGAACCTTTGTGTTTCTTAAGGTTTTGGTAAATAGCATTTGGGGAGGTCAAGAGGGAAGCAGCAAATACCACCTGTAATCAGACGGAGCCAGAAGAGAGATTATCTTCTCCTTACCAATAAAAGAAACACTTGTCATCCAGGCTTAAGGAGTACATATTGGCAACAAGAAAGTTACAAAGACTGAGAACTACAGCAAAAATATTATTACAGAATTATATCTAAATCCCACCCTTTCGGTGATATTACAGAATAAACCAGGAGTCCGGTCCTGTGACTAAGCCCTGCTCAGAACCAAGTGTTGACCTTACAAACTCATCTCTAGCTGTTCCAGAATCAGTCCATGAACCTTGGTGCCACAAAGATGTGAAATGGGAAGTGGCCACGCTGCCTAGGGCGGAGCCATGTCTGTACCTGTCAACCCTCATACAGTAATTATGTCTTGATGATGAGACCTATGGAATGTTCTAATTCTCCCTCAAGGTATGGCGACTCGAGAGAATCAGTATAAGCTTGGTGAGTGTTTCGCAAATGTTGAGCTGCATCTGAATCACTGGTCGGTCTGGTGTGTGGCCCAAGAACTTGCATTTCTAACGAGGTCCAAGGGGCTGTGGCGGCTGCTGCCCAGGTGAATGTGCTTTGAGTAGCTCTGGCTTCGTGGTGACCACCTGCGTGTGATTCTGAGCAGAAGTTCCAGAATCCCAGTGGGGCCCCTGCCCATCTCTGCTTTTCCCACTACCTCAATCTTCTTCTCTTGCCCCCTCTGAAAGACGGAGCTCTTTGAAGGTGATCTCAATCTGTGTGATGAGGTTTGTCTTCCCACTTCCAAAATTGGATCCTCATTGCTGGTCACCCCTGCACGAAGCAACCTCACAGTTAAGTCCGTCTCCTGCCCAGGGCCTCACATGATCCTGGCTTCTGTTCTCACTCCCATGACTCCTCTGACTCTTGCCATCAGTGCTACGATTCTACCAATATTACTTCTGCCACCACAGCCACTTATTACCAACACTTCTCCCTGCCAGCAGCTGCTGAGCTTTGGGCATGCCGCTGGCTGGGAATGCATGGGTTGCAACAGCTGGGATGAGAAAATGGTACACATGGCATGTTCCAATTAAAAGCAAAAAAACAAAAAACTCCTGCCTCAAAGCCAGCATCCCTAAGAATGTGCTCCCTACCTGGGACTCACCTGGGAGCTCATGCAAATGCTGGTTCCCAGGCACATGCTGAGAGTTTCTAAGTTAGCTGGCATCAGTAGGGTTGACCAGCACTCCAGATGATTCTCACACAAGTACCAACACACTTTCAGCACTGATGGATTCTTTTTTTTCACTGTTTTTCGTGTGATAAAATACACAGAACATAAAATTGACTATTTTGATTATTTTTTAAAAATATTTTATTTATTTATTCATGAGAGACACACAGAGAGAGGCAGAGATACAGGCAGAGGGAGAAGCAGGCTCCCTGCAGGGAGGCCGACGTGGGACTCGATCCCAGGACCCCAGGGTCACGCCCTGAGCCAAAGGCAGACGCTCAACCACTCAGCCACCCAGGTGCTCCTATTTTGATTATTTTTAAGTGAATGATTCAGTGGCATTCCGTGCATTCACAATGTGGTGCAACCATCACCCCTCTCTAGCTCTAGAACTTTCCATCAGACCAAACATAAATCCTGCACCCATCAAGCAGTCACTCTCCACTTTCTATCCCACCTCAGCCTCTGATGACCGCTACTCTGCTTTCCATCTCTATGAATCTGCCTTTCCTGGATATTTCAATAAAATGGAGTCACATAGCATGCGGCCTTTTGGTCTATAAGCCTGGGTCAGCTTTGAAGTTGGGGAAGGAGAGGTGAAGAGTTGTTTTGAGTGTGATCTTTAACACCTAGACCTCACTGAAAATCTGATTCTATATTTTGCTGCCAGTTTGCTTTTCTACCCTCACTTTGGTCATCTAGCTGACTGGCAGCTGGTTCCCAAAGCAATTCCACGCTCAGTGAAGGGATCTCTGACCTCTCCAAGGAGAGGATTCAGCCCTTGTATCTATGTCATACCCACAGGCTCCTCTGACACCAGTTTTTCCTCTATCCCTGATGAGAACTTCCAGCTCACCACACTTGAGGCCTTTAAGATCACTCAGGGGAAAAACATGGTCTACAACATCGGATTTTAGTGGAGTTATTAGTCATGATTACCAATGACTACATTCTGCAGTGTCTTTTTTTATGAGATAATGTAAAAAAATCAGCTATAATACCATAGAAAGAACACAAAATATGGACTTATAGACTTAAAACACATGACTTTTCAGGTGTGCCTGAGAATATCTTTGTGCCTGAAACAAATAACCAGCTAAATGCATAAAAGTGGCCATACAAAAAAGTGATACTGCATTTTAAAAAATGATCTTTTAAAATAAAAAAAGGGAGGACAGAAAAACCTGGTTGCATACCCTGGTCATGCAATATATATGGGTTTCACATTGTCAAACGGAGATAGGAAGTTCCAGAAATCAATCCAGGTTTTGTAGAACCTGAAGTTTGTAAAATTTGGAGGATTCTCTTTAAGAAAAAGACAACTCTTGGAGGCGCCTGTGTGGCTCAGTTGGTTAAGCGTCCAATTCTTGATTTCAGTTCAGATCACGATCTCAGGGTG